CCCCAGCCTCTTCTGCCACAGCTCCATCCTCCCTAACACCAGAGGGGTGGCAGGAGGAGAGCGGCGGGCACTCGTCGTTACCTACAAGAGGTGGAGGAGGCACCCAGGGTGACACTATTTAGGAGCTGCGCTCAGGGACCTCAGCGACCAAACCTCCTTCCTCGGCTCCGGAGAGAGGTGAAGCCGGCAGGGCTGGGTCTGCTTGGCGATGCTTTGGGCTCACGCGGGACGGTGACTGGGGCAGGTGAGTTGGGAGCTACGGGAAGGGGAACAGGGAAATACTGGGGGGACTTTACAGCTGAGCTGGAGGGTCAGACAAACAGGGGCACCTCCAGTGGGTGTTCCCGTGGGCAGAGGACCATCAACATCATGCGATCATGCCGCAGATGGGGCAGCTTTGAGTATCTGGCCCCTCGTCCCATGCAGACCCATGCACCATCTCAGGATGGGTTTGAACCAAAGAGAGGTGATTTTTCGCTCTCCTACTGTGTCTTTTAGTGGTGGCCCAGGGTTGTCATGTGGGGGCATGGACGTGGCACCCCAGAGTTGCCGCCGTTCCCACTGGCGATGCACAGCCGACAGCAGGAACACTTTGCCCCTCACAGCATCCTTGCTGCCTCCTTGTCACCAGCTCGCCGGGCCGGCAGGGCGGCCAGACACACGACAAGCCGCTCTTTGCCCTCTCCAAGCCCAAGACTACGGTGCCGTGGGTCCAACGAGATGGTGACCAGGGCACAGGGGCAGCAGAGACGAGCTCTGCATAAAAGACAGGTGGGAAATGCAAACTTTGAAGTATTGGGGATGGCCCGTTCCCGAGTAGATCCTGTGCTCATCCCAACAGTCAGAAGAGTTCTCCTATTTACTGACTCCGGGGCAGTGCGTCCCTTTAATGCTTGTGGGGAGAATTCCTTCCACTCAAGCTCCCTCTGCAGAGGAGTGCTTACTGCTGCGGCCTCACCCAAGGCTGTGTCAGAAAACAACCACACACAGGTTCAGAATTATTCAGCCCATGCTGGCAAAGTTGTGTGTGTCTGTACGGGGAAAGTCCCATCTCTGCTGGCACAGTTCATGCCCATCGTAGCCACACGGGGAGAAACCACAATGCAAAAATATCCTTGGAAATTTTTTTTTTCCTCATTGTGGAAATGTCAAAATTTTCCTTTGGAAATTTGTATTTTATCTCCTTTTTGTTTTCTCTCCAGTGATTTTGTAAAGTTCCTCAATGCCACTATTATGTTCACTGGTTTTGCACTAGGTAATTATGCAATAATGGACTATTTGAAATTTCCTATTCTTTTCATTTGTGTATGTTTTTGACTACTAGGGGAAGTCTTTCCTGAGCACTGATACAAATACTGTCCTCTTTTTCTAAAGCGACTGCAGTCTTGATACACTGAGGTTTCTTCGTGGGGAGCAGAGCGTCAAAGCGTTCGTTCCAACTCAAACAAGAGGCACTTTGATCTAAAAACAGCCTCAACCTACCAGCGACAAACAGTGGTGGCTCAGAAATGAAATAAAACATTTCAGTGTTGATATCCTGACCTCGGGGTGCCGGGAGACCAACACCACCTTGTGAAACAGTGTGAAAGTAAAACACAGATGGGGAACAAAGCGGGCACAAAAAACTAAAATAAAACATAAAACTGGCTTAAAACTCAAACCTGAATGGTTGCCAGAGCTGGTGCTTCCGAAGTGCCCCTCTGCAGCAAATCTTTTGGCCGCCCCTCGGTGGCTTCGTGCCTCGCTTCCCATGGGGGTAGACCCCAGCAGGGTCTGCCAACACCTTGCAAAGAGCAAGGGCTGCCCGGCGGCAATGAATCCTCCTTAGATACCCACGTATTTTATCGGAGGGTGATCGAGGCACAAGGCGGCAGATGACTGGGACCCCCTGCCCCGGCACCGCGGGGGGCTCAGCGTCACCCACCTGCGCTCTCCATGGCCAGGCTGAGGCTGCAGCACGGGGCGGGCG